GACAGCAGAAGGCAAATGGTGCGTGCGTGTGGTGCGTGAGTATTCTCTGTGGTACGTCTGCTGTGACTCAGGCGATGGGAGCAACAGAAGGCAGAGGCTGACGCTTCATGTCTCAGCACCCTCTCCTCGGGAGGATAATGAAGTTTTAAACTCACACTCAAGCAAGCAGGAACTAATAAGCAGTACAGACACACTGCCCTCCTCAGCTTCAAACTTTACATTCATACCACACTACCCAAATCTCGCCTGAACATCTGTAAATAAATGAGAAGATCCTTGGATGCTCAGCAGTCTTGGTTAAACTCGTTTTGTGCACAAAATATCTTAATAAAACCCTGCAATTCATCATTTTAATAGCATAATTCATGTTATGTTGAATAAAAACAGCTATTTTCTATCACATTATTATTATTATTATTTTTCCATTTCTGAAGAAAATGTTAGAGATGCTTGCCCATGCCACTATGCTAGGGTGTTCTGCTAGGGCAGGCTTTGCTATATGTAATATCTTTGCTATATTCGTTATGGCGCCGATGCTGATGGCTGCCTCCGTGGCGTGCTCCGCAGTTGTTTTTATGTTTTTGTTAGTTTGTCCTGTCTTTAGTTATATCCCTGCAATCAGTTTCACCAGAGATGAATTGCTGGACATTTGGAAGTACACACCACCCGATATTTCACCGGTTTTCAATTATTCTGATGTTTTGCTGGACATTGTAGTCAGGGGAGCTGCAGCGCTGATCAAGCGCTTCAGGACGCGCAGACAGGGGAAGCGAGCCGGCGCGCTCGTGAAGCTAAGGCAGCGCGGATTCAGAACGCCGTTGCCTAGCATCCATCTGGCGAACCTCCGCTCTCTACCCAACAAAACGGACGAACTCCTTCTGCTCTCCCGGACAAATAAGGATTTTTCAAACTCTGCTGCTCTGTGTTTCACGGAAACCTGGCTGAAAGACGCCATTCCGGACAGCGCGTTGAGTCTGCCGGGCTTTCAGCTGTTTCTATAACTATCTTGTGTCATATATATATGGTTATTTGTATGTATGTATGTACCAAGCGTTCCTGTAAAACCACAACACATTCCTTGTGTTTGCGTACACTATACCTGGCAATAAAGCTCATTCTGATTCTGATTCTGATATCTTTATCAGTTGAAAATGGTTGCGCTGCTATATATTTTTGTGGAAACTGTGATTTTCTTTTTCAGAATTATTTGACTAAGAGAAAGTTCAAATGGACAGTATTTATTTGCAAATAAAATGTTATCATTTTAAGCCTTTACTGTCACTTGATGTTTTTGCTTTAAAAAGTACTCGTTTTAATAAAAAAAATTGTAATGGTAGAGTAGCATACATTTTAAAGGGGTCATATGATGCTTTTTTAAAGATCATTATTTTGTGTATTTGGTGTAACAGAATATGTTGACATGCTTTAATGTTCAAAAAACACATTATTTTTCAAATACTGTACATTATTGTAGGTCCTCTATGCCCCGCCTCTCTCAAACACTTCGTTTTCTACAAAGTCCCTCCTTCAGACAAGTCACTCCTTCAATAAATTAATTATGATTCACTATGAACATTTCTAAATTGTGAATGATCCATTTGCACTGAATATTCCACAATGCTGCAACCACACCACTTCACTGGCAGTGTAAACCTAGCATAAACCAAAATAACTCTTTTATTATTATATAAATGGTCTGTTATATAATTATTAATTATTATATGGATAGCCTGAATAAATGAAGCCCTATGAAATGACAAAGCTATAAATAATGGTGACTCGCACATTGACTATATATGGAAAGTCCTGGAGGAAATGCTGGAGAGTTGCATCAGTCAGTGCTGGCGAGATACAGATAAGACAAGGTATGAGTTTATCCAGCAACTGAGTAAATGAACTTAGTAACTACAGATGGGCTGACAGTGATAATGATCGAAATGGCCAGGCAGTAGAAAAACAGAGGAAATGTAATTCAAATAAGTCCCATTTTGTCCCCTAGGAAAACAATGGGAAGAGATGAGACTGCCAAAAGCAAGCAATCACAAAGAGAGGGAGAGAGAGAGAGAAACTGCGTGAGAGTAACCTACAGAATAACATCCCAGGACAGGGAGAGATGGGCAACATCTCGATCAATAAACTTTAATTGCATTCAGTGGAAGAAATGATCCACGTCACTATTCTCATCACTAATGCCTTCCACCCTTTTCTTATCTTATCTCCATCACATGACCCCTGACCACCAATCAGAGCTCACAGCAGCTAGGTATAATGTAACTGGATAAAACAAGATAGGCAAGTGTTTCTGAGAATTTGAGGTTCTGCTTCTTTTTTTCCCTATAAATTACCATTTTATAAATGAGTAATGTGAAACATTCAACATAGGCTGCCACTCCATGTATCCTCACAAGAAATATATTCTTATACACTCTAAAAAAATGCTGGGTTAAAAAGGGACAAACCCAGCTATTGGGTTGTTTTGACCCAGCAGTTTGTACTGTATTATTGCTCAAATAAATGCAGTCTTGGTGAGCATGAAAATGTTTAAACATTTCTCTGACTTTGATGGGAAAAAAAACTGGCAATCTCATCACCCTGCATTATGGGATTGTCTCCTCCATAAAGGATACATGTGACAGCCTTAGATTTTGGCTGAGTTTTAGAAGGCAGTGTAATTAAGATGCCTACCTTCTGGAGCAGTGCCTATGATAGCTTAAATGTTCACTAGGTGTTGGAACAGAGCAAAAGTCTGACTGTAAGAAATGTAAAGATCTACAAACAAGACACACGCATGCATTAAATGTAATACCAGTACAATATTCCTCAGGGGAGGCTGAAGGACAGTGATTCATATAACACCTACAAACTTCCTTGAAAGGAAAATTCCACAAAATCTAATGAAAACTGTGAAATAATGATAACAAAACTAAAGTGGAGAACCACTGAGCAAGAGAGGCGAGACAGAGCTAAATAAGGTTACAAGGGGAAAATAAGAAAGGATTACAGTATAAGTTTAAGTCTCATGTAAGAAAGCCTCCATGCCTTGTTGTGTCTTTTTGTTTTCATAGTAAACAGAGAGACAGTAAAAGAAAGCGATGAACGATCTTCTCTTCCCCTCAGACCCTCACTATTAATACATGTGCATCTCTAATGGAGATAAATGTAGAGCAGTAAAAGAGCAGGGGGGTAAAACAGAGAGAGAGAGAGAGAGAGAGAGTGGGAAAAGAGACGGATGAAGGGGGGCTGGGTGGAAATAGAGAAGGATGAAAGATGGATGGAGCGAATTAGTTGTTGAGGGAGTGAAAGAGAGAAACATTGCTGTGGAGGTGGAAAAACACAAGTATCTCCATCTAATATGGTGAAAGAAAAATGACAAAACAGTATGTGAAATAGATGTGCTCTATAGATTATGGGTAAATAATAGACTAGATATTATAAATGACAACATTATTAAAATTGTATTTAAATTTAACATTTATTTGACATAACATGAATTATATTTAATTACATCCCTAGGTAAACATTTGTTTCATTATCAATGTCCCTCCTCTGTTTTAATAAACAGACATACAGTACAGCTCAGAAATCATATGAATATTTGTCCACATCACTCCACCAAAATAACTTTAAGGAATCTCAATATGGACCTGGAAACAGTTCAAATAGGTCTAGCATATGGACACAGGAAATAACAGTCCTTAATCTTAGAAGAGTTAAAGAAGTAGAGGCAAACTATTCAAATACATATAGAGCACAGGAAAATGAACTACACTAATATTGGCCAAGTAATTTGATCTCTGTGAGCGGAGCTCAAGTTACACAGTAGCCTAATTACTCAGAATGCCCAGGGCTCAGTTCTGGCCCAGTCCCCGGTTCAGTTTCAGAAAAAATGACTATGGATGGCTGTGAACTGAGTGCTTGTAGAAAAGTTTTTTTTTTTTAAGGATTTGAGAGCTGTTCTGTTAGAGTTTGGAAGATTGTTTTACCAGTGCAAAACAACCCAGGGCTGCATTTTCCAAAACCATTGTAAGCCGAATCAGAAAAAAAAAACATGGCACCGATGGTCTCTATAATCTCACAATGCTTTTGGGAATTGCACCCCAGAACATTCATCACGACCGTTTTCATCATGCAAAAAAATTGTTAATATTTTTTGTCAGGTTCATATTTTTTGTCATCATCAGAATTAGAACCGATTTGGCCCCTGGGCCTTCAATTTCTGTTTAATGACTCCACTACATCAAGGGAAGGAGGGGAGAGAGATCACTGTCATTTATATTAATTCCATTAGGATCACTCTAGTAACACATCATGCAGAGAATACTGAAACAAATTACACTAGCAGGATGACAAAAACAGAGAGACGTCCCTCCCCTCAGTGACCCTGCCTGATCAAACCTCACATATGTCCCCTGCTCAACCTTGAGGGGGATGAGTAAAGTTGGCGGTTGCAGTGAAGAAATGTCCGGCAATAGCAATGTTACCATGGCAACGGCTGAATGATTGACAGACAGGCGACAGACAGGATGTGAGTGTCCCATTCCAGGAAATCCCCTCGTGCCTGATATGTAATCCTCTTTATGAAACAGGACAGACTGCTGAGGTATC